ACTATACTTTTCAATGTAAAAGCTTGATTTGCTTATTACATCGATACGCAGCTTGTGAACATGCATGTAAAATAGCTTTGATCCAGACTTGGCTGTATTAGTAGATCCTTCTAGACCTGAATGAACTATGGTCATATGCAGCTATACTGTCATGCTGTTTTTGGAAATTTTTATGTAGTCTGGATGATAGTTGGAATTTATGACATGATAATGCTAATATACACAGTACATATTACATTTTGCCAAGTTTCACCTTTGAACATGTAACAAGAAAATCAGTAATGAAGTTATTGTTTCATTTGACATTTTCACATAGCAAATAAAACCAAGTAGTCTGAAATACTTTCTCTAGTTGGCCATATGTTTAAAGTGTAACTACTGAGCAAAAAGTGTTTCGTGGAATTGAAAGGAATCCAAACTTTTCCATAGGATTATTGCTATACATTGTCACACTAAGGGTTACTTTGACTAGATGTCAGTTCATTGCCTTTCGATGGATTGGAACAATGGCTGAATACGGTTTGCCTCCTCACCCTGCTGTGCAGTGGGCCCAGTTTGTATTGTTTAAACTTGGAAGGTTGTGCACACCAAGTTGTGCACTTAATTGTTTTGCTGCCGCACTCGGCAGGCTGTCCTGCGGCGGCTTGTCTTGTGCCTTTGACCATTTGTTCTGCTAACCTCCCAGGAGTGAATTCCTGTGTAGTTCTGACAGAAGCGGTAGTCTAACACAGAACTTAAAAACAGTGTTGTTGACTTTTACAAGGTCTTGGGCAGCCTATTTGATGTCTGCTTTGTGTTTTCATAAGGCTTATTACAGATTGGTGGCTCACTTATTACACCTGAATTCAACATTGGCATTTTATAACTGTTTGTCAGGTTGTATTGTATTTCTGAATTCATGCCAGCAGGTTGTCAGAGGAGATGCAGCTTTGCTACTCGAGTGTTAAGTTTTTCTGAGGCTGCAGCTGTTTTTCCCCCTTCAGATTTAAGTTAAAGTCATCAAAATTCAACTTAAAATAAATTTACAGAAGCCATGGAAAACTTTTAAAATATTGAACAAATGCATGAAGTGAAAATAAATGCCTGCTGCCGTGTCCCAGCGGTTCCCCTTGTGTGGGTGAGCACCGCCAGGCACAATTAGCGGGCACTGTCCCCAGGCTGCGGCTCTTTGTCGTGCACATCCATCTTGAAAGTTGATGGAATACATTTTTCTTTGAGAAAAAGTATTGGTTGCCGTCACTCGTGCCAAAGTTTGATTTGTTAATTCACTGTGAATCATAACTTTTTGTTTGTTTTAACTTGCTCTTTGCGAGACAAAATTATTATGGCATGGTGTCATGAAACGTATTTTTAACACTTGTAATAAACAGTCAATATTGTATAGGTTTCATACCACGTGCAAGATTTCAGTTCATGCGAGTTCTTAATAAGTTAGATTCTTTGTGGAGAAAACATACAATTTTATTATTTTTAAAAATAAAGATTTTAAATGAATTGTGCTGTTTTAAAAAATATTTATTATTAATAAGATTCTGAGTTTTCTCCATCACATTTAGGAGTACAGATTAAAGTAGTCAGTTATATCAAGATACATTTAAATACATTTTAAACCTCGAACACTCATATTGTTAAATATCTTGAGATATTTAAGAAATTAAGTCATTCATGATCCCCTGAACAGAATGTTTTTGCTTATTTGTTTCATTAAATGTTATAATTCTGAAAGCCATTTAATTTTTATTGATGTATAGTTTTACTGTTTTCTAATTTAGTAGGGAGCCTAACCTTTTGATGTCTCAATAAAAAAGGTAATTGATAAAGGAGCCAATAAAATGAACTCTTTTACATTAAATTACATTGTTAATGTATTTCTCCCAGGTTTTAGAGACAGAAAAATAAAAATGTTTTTATAAATGCACTTTGGCTTTTTTTTTTAAGATTTGTTTATTTTTATTGGAAAGTCACATTTATAGAGACAGAAAGATCTTTCATCTACTCTTTCACTCCCCAAGTGGCTGCAATGGCCTGAGCTGAGCCAGTCTGAGGCCAGGAGCCAGGGGCTTCTTCCAGGTCTCCCGCAGGGGTGTAGAGTCCCAAGACTTTGGTCCATGTTGGTCTGCTTTCCCAGGCCACAGGGTAGGGAACTGGATGGCAAGTGGAGCAGCTGGGACATGGACCGCTGCCCAGGTGGGATTCCAGCACTTGCAAGGCGAGGACTTTATCTGCTAGGCTACCGTGCAGGGCCTATAAGTGTACTCTTTAAAATAATTCTACTTGGGAGTGGTCTCATCTTTCCATAGTGGCAAGTCTGTGCCACATCGTAAGTGAACGCTTCATCTTTCTATTCAGCAGTGTTTTTACTTGCTCTCATTTTGTGCCTGCCTGTTTCAGGAAACAGCTTCCATGCAGCTCAGGCTAATCATGTAATCATCCTTTCTGGCACGCCATATTTTCAGTCTATTAAAAATGTCCTTTGAATTTCTGAAATCTAGCTCTCAACTACTTATAATATTTATTATTTTTTTTTATTCACTTGATAGAAAAGAGAGAGTGAGCGAGCACGAGTGCACGCAAGCTTCCATCCACTGACTCACTTTCATTGGCCACAACGGGCCAAAGCTGCCCAGAGCGAGGAGCTTCCCATGTACGTGCAGTGGCCGAAAAGCTCTAGCCATTCCCGCCTCTTTCCCAGGCCGTTAACTAGGGAGCCAGGTCGGAAGTGGAACAGCTGGGACTTGAACAGCATCCACGTGAGATGCCAAGCAGAAGATTAGCATGCTGCTGCACCATGCCGGCCCCTAGGACTCTAAATACTTAACATTCAGGGCAGTGGGATTTCTCAGTGAGTTCCCTGCATTGGCCTTTGTGACAGTGTCTGCACTTTCCTACTTGCCCCAACTCTGTTCTTCCTGGTGGCCACGTTGCTGTTAAATATTATCATCATCTTGAATTATTTTCTTGCTTTGAAAGCATCCTACCTGAGTTTCTCCAAATTCCTTGCCATGGCCAATGGCCATCTGCTCCCTGGCATTTTCTCTTTCCCTTAGATGTGCTGAATTGGCTTCCGTGTTAGGACCATCACATGGTTTTCTGAAAGTTTTTTGCAGGCTGATTTGTCTTGTCTTTAGGTCTCCCATGAAACTAACTGCTCAGTTAAGTGTTTCGCTGATTCTTCTTCAGTCATGCATTCTCTCAATCTTATTTTTTGAAGATACATTTGCGATCGTAAATATTGAGAAGGAAAGTCAGAAAAAGAATAAGAGAGATTTTCCATCACTTGCGTACTGTCCAAATGGCCCCATAGCCGGGTCTGGGGCAGGCCAGCACCAGGAGCTTCTGCTAGGACTCCCCACGTGGGCATAGGGCCCCATCATTTGGGCCATCTGCTGCTGCTTTCTCAGGCACATTATTAGGGAGCCAGATTGGAAGTGGAGTAGCTGGGTCTTGAACTGCCACCCATATGGGCCCAGGCAGTGTATTTACCCTCTGTGCCACAGTGCTTACCCTTCACTCATGTAGGTTATTCCACATACCATATCTTTGAACATTAATGTGTTGTTGTAACTATGGATATCTATCTACGACTTACCAGTCTTAGTAAACCTGAGCTAATTTTTGATAGGTACTTTTGCTTAACCTTTATGGTCTAATTGAACATGCTTACATATTTCTCAAATAATCTAAGCTATACATTCCTATAAAATTATGGCAAAATTAATTTTGTTTAAGTGTATAATTCATTATTTTCTGGCAAACTTATGAGTAAACTTGGTAGTAAATTTGTGCAGCTAACAACATAATCCGGTTTAGACTATTTCCCGAGAAGGTCTCTCCTGGCTCAGGCTTCTCCTGACTGTTGAGTGCAGAGGTGGTAGCAGGATTTTTTTTTTTATGCAACAGAGCTGTGGTTTGTGGCTTTCTAAAGTGGAGTATCAAATATTTTCTGTTCTCTGTGTGTTTCTGTTGCAAATATATACATTGTGGCGTAAGTGTGAATTTTATGTAGGGAGTCATTAAAATATAGACAACATGTGCTTCCATTTGCTTAATTTATAGTAAGGAAAATCTTGCCAGAGAGCACATCGGATGTGAATTAAACATTTTTCAGTTTGACCTTAGTTTTTTTTTTTCAAATCTTTTACAACTTATTTTTAGCAGATCAAGGAGAAAAGATTGAAAAATTAATGAACGCACTTCCAATTATTTGCACAACATAAACATAAACATAAACATCAACACCTTCCTAGGCAGGTCACGTTCATGGCCAGTAAAATTGGAAAAGAACTCAGTAGATAGTACAGGTTTTAGAGATTGATTTATTTATTTGAAAGGTAGTGTAGCAGAGAGAGGGGGGGATCTTGTGTCCACTGGTTCCTTCCCAAATGGTGGCATCAGCCCTGCCCAGGTCAGCTGGAAGCCAGGATCCAGGAGCTACATCCTGGATTGCTGATGGCAGTCAGGAAGGTCAGGACATCAGGGGCAAGCGCTTGGGCCATCAGGCTTGGCTGCTCAGGCACGTTAGCAGAAATTTTGACTGGAAGCTGAGTAGCTGGGATTCAAACTGGTGCTTTTAAATGGGATGCTGACCTCACAAGCAGTGGCGTTTTGTACTGCAATGTTGGCCCCTCTGTTTACTTTTTTTAGGTAGTAAGTCAACTTGTTGACAAAATGGTTATTTTCCGGCTGTATCACCAGAAAGAATTCTCTTCTCGTGTGTTTCGTTTAACTCGAAACTCTGCAATTGTTATATTGCCGTTTGAAACACTGGAGGGTGTCTTTGGGCCTGGGAATGGATCATTTGGAGACGACTGATTACTTTCTTTTTGAATTTTTAATTGATCTTGTGTCTGTTCCCTTACATGTCTTAAGAAAGGTTTAGTACAAATAGTTTAGTCTTAAATGGTTCAGGCAGTGGCATATTTGGCTTAAAATAATCTCAGTTTACTTGGTCTTTTTCTTCATTGGACAATGTCCTTGTTTTTTCTTCATTCATATTTAAGGTTTCCGATCGGGTGGAGCGAAGGCTTCGGGAAATTGAGAGAGAGATGCGCACAGAAAGAGAGCTGGTGGAAAGACGGCAAGATCAGCTGGGGCTTATGTCCTTGCAGCTACAGGAGGTTTGTAAAAAAACGCTGCTTTTGGAACATAACTATTTCATTTCGATAGTTAATTAGTCTCTGTCGAAATGGAAATATTTCCTTTGTTGTTGCATGTGATAATAATTCAGCCCAGGCGAGAAGTATAGAGGTATAATTTGTTACAGTTCAGTCTATAGAATGAGACCTTCCTGGCTTCCTACTTTTGCTGTCTGTCTAACCTTTGGCCAGTTCTCTCATTTTTCTCGGTACTCCAGAACATGGAGAGGACGTGTGCATCCACCTCTTCAGATTTGTGTACGTCATTGCCGGCAAAGCACTTGCCATGATGCTTGGCACATACTCAGAAAATGTTAACTGCAGGTGTAAGTGCTCTGATTAATTTTTCTGAGCATGGATTAGATCGAGGTCATTGAACTATAGCTCCCTGTCTGCTTTTTGTAACTAACTTCCTATTGGAACACAACTGCTCCTCTTCATTTGTATATTGCCTGGAGGAGCTTTTGGTGACGGGAAGGCAGAGCTGAGCAGTTGTCAAAGGACGTTCTGGGCCCAGAAGGCCTAAACAATTGACAGTCTGGTGCTTTATAGGAAATGCTTGCCCGCCCTTGAAAATGGTTACTGTCAAACCATTTGAAAGTGGAGAATGGTTTCCCTTATATCCCCTTTGCATTTTGGTGTTTCAGACCTAAGGTCCAGTTAAAAATAAAAAGAAAGAATTCCTGTAAACCTTTACTTTGATTCCCTTAATATTCATATTTTCACAAAACTTGCCCTGTTTTTGGTATATATTTTCTGAAACACTTTTGCGTAAGTTGCAGACATAGATTTTTTATTTGTTTCAAAGGGAGAGTTACTGAGGAGTCCAGAGATGGATACAGACAGACATCTTGTGTCCACCGTTTGCTTTCCAAATGATCCCAGTGGCCAGGTTTGCATCCCGGATCCAAGAGCCTGGAACCAGCAGGCTGGAGCCAGGAGCCAGCAGCCAGCAGCCAGGATTCAGGAGCCAGGAGCTTCTGAATTTCCCACATGGATGCAGGGATGCAATACTTTGGGCCATTTTCCCCTGTTTTCCTAGGTCATGAGTAGGGAAGTATAAGTGAAGTAGAGCCACCAGGACTGAAACGGTGCCTGAATAGGATGCTGGTTTTGCAGCTGTTGGTTTTATCCTGACACCAACCCAAATTTGCATGCCTAAATAAATACTTTTAACAAATGTAGTATATATGTTTTTATCATCACAATGCAGTAATCAAAATCAAGGAATTTTCACCAGTTCAGTACTCTGATTTAATCTGTAAGTTTTAGGCAAATTTTCCAATCGAGGCTAAAATGCAGGCTCATGTATAACTTTCATTATGTCTCCTTAGTCTGCTTTGATTTGGAAACCTTTTCAGTTATTTTGTAGGTTTTCTTTCACTTTGGTTTGATGATGTTGATTTATGCCTGGAATCAGGTTGTGAACTTACTGCAGGAAGCTCAGGTAATTGTCATGTCCTTCCCATCGTATGTCGTGGTTTGAGCGTCCTCCGAAGGCCAGTGTATTGGGAACGTGGTCACCAAAGTCTTGTCTTAGCAGAGCAACGTTAATGGGCGAGAACAAATTTCGAAGGAAGACCAGTGGGAGGTTTGGAGGGCACTGGGTGTCTTGCCCTTAGTTCAGGGGAAGTAAATCTTCCACCTTCCTCAGTGGTACTTCTCAGATATTTCAGTTTCAATGTTAAAAAACTGGCAAATACACTGTCGTATCAGAAGTTGCATTGGTCACCTTACTGGAGAAAACTGAACATTTTTTGTTTTATTGCCTACCAGGTTTCTCCAATGTGAAGTTATTACTATTCCATTTTATTTATTTATTTGATGGGGAGACTTTTTGAGACTTGAAAATTCCCTGTTTTTTTTTTTTTTTTGGTCATTCTTTCACACTCTGAATTCACGGTCTCCTGTCTGAAACAATTAATACTGTTGTTGATGCCAAATTGTGATTTTTTTTTTAAATACCTCCATCATTCCTTCTTCATTTACAGGATCCTATTGTATAGAACTTTGTCTTGGTGTGGACTTGTAGATTTCATTTAATTGCATCTATAAATGGTAATTGTTACTTTAGAAAATTTGTTGAAATTTCCTTCAAATGCTTTTTTGGTCTGTGCATAAATTCCAGTAATTAGAAACCAGAAAAAAAATGTTAAGAAGAAATTGAAACTGTTTCTTTTCTTCCACATGCTTTTTCTAAAAATATACTTATGCACACGCGGATCATTAACCTTTATTGATCTGCAGACTTTTTGTTTTAGCATAAGGACACACTATCAATTGAAATTTCTAACAAAAATTATAACCATGAAAATATAATGTGAAGCTGATAGAAAACTCCTTCTTGTTAAAAATTTCACTTTTCTCTGTTTCATAAAAGGAGGCATACTCAGCAGGTAATTACTTTAAAGAGGATTCATTGTTGAATAATTAGATACAGCACGGGGGTTTCTTTTTTCCCTTAACCTTGATTTTTATGTATTTGTTCTCAAAGTAAATTGCATCTGGTGAGCATAAGAATAGTACTGAAGAGACAATTGATCTTTGTGCAAGAGAAAATTAGAGAAATTTTCCATGCTTATTTTCTTTACTGCTTGCGGAATTCACAAAAAAGAGAAGAGAAAGGAAGATTGCTTCCCGCCCTGATTCCTGAGCAAGCAGAGCCTGAATATTCGCATTGTGGTTGTCAGTTTGGCTAAAAACTCGTGCTGCGATTTGAAATCCCCTCTCTGACAGTCCAAAGAAGATAACCAGTGATAAGTGATGGTTAATTTCAAACTTTGTCACTTTAAACATTGACCTAAGTATTTTTAAAAGTTGATTTTGGATTATAACCAGTGCAGTACAAACTGGAAAGGCTTAATTTAGGCTGTTACACTTTGCTGCGGCCAGGTGAAACAGCGTAGATTCTTCTGGAATGGTCATGATTTTTGAGAGAAATGGCTTGATTTTTTTTTTTTTTAATTTGAAAAGTAGTTTGAAAATCCCTATGCTGTATGATAATAGTGATTTTTTTTTCTCTTGCTGTAATGAGATACTGAATCAGTAGGTGAGAAAGTGGATTTGGAGTTTTAGTCAGTAGGCTCTTTTGACTCTGCAAAGTAAAAGTCATGACTCTTAAAGCTGTTGAGAGATTAGGAAATGCATTAAAGATGGCGGGATGTCACTACCTGGGTGTCAGGTCATCTTACAGGGAGACAGAGTGTGGTGTTGGCTCAAGTCAGCTGCTCTTTAGTGACCTACTGATGCTCCCAGCTTCTTGCTCCCATTTATGGAGTAAATCCCTGGCCATTGAGGGACGCTGCTCTCCTTTCTTGGGGTAGGGTGTTGAAGGGATTGTTTGCTCTTTTCAGCTTCTCTGGATCTGAGTAAAAAAGGCCATCTTACCCTGCAATCCACTTCCTCTTTTGAGTCTCAACTGGAGAGACACTACTGAATTCACTTTCTTGTTTTTCCTGGTTTTCTTTCAGTTAGTAATGACCTTCAGTTTACATATGTCTGAGAAAGGAAGCACGTGACTTCTGCTTTATGTGTATATGTATCTTTGATTCCTGTAGGTATCACTGTTGATGTACTGATGTATCTTTCCTTCCTGCTTCCCTACCTGTTAGATGATAACCACCGCCTGCCAGCTGGTGCAATAACATCAGCAAGTAGTTCAAAGTCACTTTTAAAAGGACTTTGAAGGTGTAGTTTTTTCCTTTGCGTTTTTCTAGATGTTTAAGGATAACATTTTTTTTTTTTTAATTTTCCACTAAATTTGCATTAAATATTGCAACTTTGGTTGAAGTTCTTGATACTTAGTTGTGTTATATATTTTGACCACTAGTCGTCAGTATTGAACTATCAATGGCAACCTGGTAGCCCTTTATTAAAGTTGTCAAACTTTGAGAAATGATTTTTTACAAAATATATACCATCAGCTCTGAGAGCTTCCCGAAAACATACTTGGTACAGGTGTTGCAGCTGAAAAATAGCTAATTATTCTAGCTGTTTGTAAATTTAGGCTTAAAATTATATTGTTTCATACTTTTGAAAAATATGACACACTGAGTATTATATGTTAAAACATTGGCTGTATTTGAAATCAAAACACATTTCTGTGTTGATTTGGTAGTTTTATTTTTGTAATAGTCCCTTCTGTTTTTCTTTCCTTCCTTTCTTTCAATCTTCCTTTGTCTTCCCTTCCTCACACTTACTATGAAAGAAATGTCTCTCACACACACACACGCACACACACGCACACACACACACACACACACACGCACACACACACACACACACACGCACACACACACACTATACAATGGAAACTATAGTTGAATATTAGAGTTTATTTTACTGGAATCATTTGTTCTCATGCCTTTTTCTACTATTCATGTTTGTAAGTGTGCTGAAGATGCTTTTTCTCTAAATTTTGGTCTCTGTAACCTTCTCCTAATTACCACTTTCTTTATAATAACCAGTACCCTTTTTATCACAATTTTTATTTTATTTTTTTATGTATTTTTGTGATTTTTCCATGTCACAGTTTTGTGGATATAAGCATTTCCCCCTCCTCCTCTCACCCCAGTCTTGCCCCTTCCCTGCCAGTATTTCCCCTCATATCCTTTAGCAACAATGACAGATCCAACATTCTGCTCTGTAGGTGTGGGTCTAGACAGTGGTAGGAAATCGAGTATCCTGTTATCAAGGGATATTAGCAGTTTCATTGGGAATCCTACTGTTTTTCACAAGTAGAGAGACATACTGCAATGTATCTTTATTTCCTGGTGTGCTAATCTCCATTATATTGTTCTGTAGATGAATATATGTATTTACATGTTATTTTTGTGTATTTTGCCTGAATGTGGCTGTGTGTCAGGTTTGGAGACTGACTTATGTCACTGAGCATAATAGTTTCCAGTTGTGACCCATTTGTTACCAATGCTGGACTTTCACTCTTGTTAGTGGCTGTGTAGTATTCCATGATGTAAATGTAC